TGAGAAACCCAATGGCATCTGATTGCTTTCCTCTGCTTTGTTGATTTTCCTAGTTTTATGGATCATGCATAGAATTTCTAAAGAAGGAAATATGGTATGTTTTTCATGTACGAATAAATTATCCCGGCGGATGCAATGAATTGCTTGGCAACCGATACTATTTTTCAACTGACCATTTCCCATCACACCGCATAATTTTCGCTGAAACGGCAGCATTGTTCCCAATTAAAAAAAAAAAAACACACGAATAAAAAAATTAAATTTTGAATTGCAGCCAGGAAATGGTTGCATCAGCTTTTAGCAGTGAAGTTTTGAAAACGATTACGTGTTCAACATGAATCTTCACGTGATGATATTCAATAATATTACAGGATGCATTTTTTTGCATGCGTGTTTCTGCAAAAACTATTGAACAATATCGACGTCCACTGAACTTGATGGAAAAAAAATTCGGTCGAAAACAGTGTTTTTCTCGAAGTGTGAACACGTCTTTCGGAATAATTGATTTTCTATATGTGCATCAGAGCATGCCACTGTAATTGGCATTGCTGGGGAAATTTTTGTGTTGATAAGCAGAGTAAGGTATTATTGAAAGTTGGAGGATAAATGAACGATCATTTTCAATGAATGGTGTATATTTTCGAGAATATTCGAGAAAGTTTTATAGGTTCAAAGTTTAAGCTCACCTTCAAAATAAATTCCGATTTCATTCGTAATATTCTTCTCGAAAAAAAAGGAATTTTACTCAGAATAAATGATGAGTTCGTTATAACTTACCCAGTCAAATGCTGAGGTTCATCAACTTAAAATGTTCTTAAGTTAATTTTCGTGGGTAAATATTGACATATGACAATTTGAGCAAATAGTTTTATTCAGGTATATTGAACCTCGAAATACTCTTGGTTATATTTCCAAAAACTTTGGCAAAGATGCCAAATGTCACTGCTGATGAATGAAAAAAAATTGGACATTCGTGGATATTTCACCCACTTTATTGGAAGAAAACTTTGGTTCTACCCCTTGCATTTGGGTTATTTATGATTTTTTGACATGCACCGCAAATTTATGTTCCCACCTGCGGCGGAGGTATTTGCATGAAATTGGAAAATAGTGCGGAAAAGCACCTGGAATACCTTCATGGGAATCTTTATTAAACATAATGAAATTATTATGAGCAATTTTCTACCAATAATAGTCATATAGATATAATTTACTTGACTGGTATGTTCAGCAGCAGGGGACAGGCTCAACGCGTCGATTTCTTCTTGTTGCCGAAAGGCAGAGAAAAAAAACGGGACTGTGCAAATTTTGCCAAGTAATTATTAAAATGGCACATTCCTTCGAAATTGTCTGTGAAGCGTTGAAAATTATGATGAAGCTTGTATATATAGAAGAATGAAGCATGTCAGTTACTGTGAGCGAAGCTGACTATAAACTCAAAACCTACTTGAAAAAAGTATTTCTTTTCAAAATCGTACACTTCATCTTGATTAAGAATTCAATATTTTCAAGACCTTCAGTGGACAGCTCTGAAACATCATTGATTCCGATAGCAGAATGATTTGACAGATATGTTGATTGTCAGTTCTCCTTCTCATAGGTTATGCTTCGAATTTTTTTTAAAAATACAATCCTGCAGATGGGAGAGAAACTGTTTTGCGACTGGCTGATTTGTGTTGTGAAAACCAGTGTTATATTTTTTATCCATGCTTCGAAGTTCAAATACTGTACAATAATATATCCCGAATTGATTATTTCGAATCTTTGTTTTTGGAGTCTTTATACTGAACAAGCAATGAAAAATCATGAGATATATGAATCAGAGATAAAATCTTTAAACTTTTACATGATTTAGGTAAGCGGATGAGTCACAAGAATACTGATTGCAGTCAATCGCATTACTATATACTCAACAGTGCAACACTAATTAAATTCTCCATATTCCCCCTTTTGCTTCCAAACAATACTAGATACAGTATACAGTTTGAATAATCCTTGGATTATCGCACATGCTTCTGCTTAAAACTTATAAATCCATTATTTCTATGATTTTTCAAAAATGAAAGTAACCATTTTGTTATCATGAACAGATTTTACAAATTGGAATGATTTTTAAGGAATATATACTGTAAATATTTAACTGAAATTGACATACCAATTAACTTTATTTTGAAATCTCAGGATAAATTGGATAAAGGCTGTACTAGATATACTAATGAATAATAAATAAATATTATTTAGTACAGTATTATATACAATGCTAAATACGCTATACTAAATATTAAATAAAGGCTATATACTGTATATATATGTACCGCATATTACTTCGTCTTACTTTGTCTTATTTTGTCTTCGTCTTTTTTTTTGATATCTCAGGAAAAAGAGAGATTTCAAAATTTAACCGAATCGGTTCGAAAATTTCAGGAATCACCTTCACGGAAGATTTTCGGAATTTTTTTTAGTTGTTCCAGCAGAAACTTTGTCTTCAATTTTTTTTTTTCAAACAGGTCCAAAAGCAGACAATTTCATTTGAAAACCCGGTTATTAAGTGCTACAAATATGCGGAAGTACGTGTTACTTTCCATCCTATGGGCTTCCTTGGTGCAATTGTGCGCATTCCAGGGGCTTCCCAGCAGGGTAAACATGAACACCTGGGGGTTTGGACCCTGGGTTCAGTCTTCAGTTGGCAGCCCGTTACCCACGCCGCAAACATTTCGATCCACTGCCGAGCAGCTCGTGGTCGACCCCAACAACTTCGTCTTCAACTATGCTGCAAACACACAGTGTGAAGTGGTCGTCAAGGGAATTGAAAGGTTTTTTGATCACATCATTCTTTTTCAATTTTCTGAAGGGCAATTAAATAGAGTGAAAATATATGTCCGTGGGAAATTGAAATAAATTAAACCTGAAGAAATCGTTGATTAACTCACAAACCGTGACACGTCATGTTCCAAAGAACTCGAGGAGTCTCCGACTTATTGCGTAAAACTACGATTTGGGCGACACCTACGCTAGAAGAAATGAATCGAAGTGTAATATCCCGTGTGTCGAAATGTAGAGTTGGAAGGAATCATCTGTTCTTCGAAAAACAATAGATATTCGAAGGAAAATCGTTAAATGTTCAACACGCAGTGATGGGGCTCAATTTCTAAAATATAGACAGAAGATGCCTGAACCAAAATTTTGCGCTTCCAAATTTCCGCTTAAAATTACCAATCTTAAATATCGAGTGCATTATTTTTTTAAAGTACATTATCAAAGTACTGTAGGTAGACGTCACATTTTGAACTAGATTCAATAACAAGTTTGAAGCAAATATCAAGTTGGTGACTCAAACTGCCTGAATGCTTTCACTATACTGTAGTCCTCAATTGAAGCATTAAATTAAATTAATACGCGGTACATTAAATTAATAGTTTTTGAATTTCAAATACTGTATCACCATAATAACTGAAATTCCTTTCGCTTAGTCTCTGTTTGTTTTAATTTATGACTGCAGATTTGCAAGTGAAATGGCAGCATTTGTAACATCTCAAAGGATTATTGAATATCTGGGAAACATTTCAAGTACAAGCGTTATTAGAAAATTTCCTGTAAATTCTTGCAAGAAGCAGGCTCTTCAGATTTTCAAAACTCTGCCTAATGCACATGGTTCCCTGCAATTAGACCCTAATCCCATGATGGACTATAGGGTCAAATTGTGGAGCAGTAGAATTGCGAGTCCACATCAAGTGCAATGTGTTTTCCACAAGGTACTATTTGACCTTCTTGACCATCTCTCTGGGTCAAATTGAAGGTGCCAAAGCAAATTTCAATTTGACCTCTCAGCAAACTTCACCATAAAATTGTGGAAAATGGTAGAATTGCAGAAGGTCCATTTATTGTGAGGTTCAATCCATATAGTCTTCAAATGAGATCAAAGTGAACATTTTTCTCTTATGATTCCTCATTAATTAATGTTGACTATACAAATTGCAATGAATAACTTTATTTTCAGGTATAGGGAGAGGATTTTCAACCCTGCGAGATGGCCAAGAAAACCAGCTGAAATTAACATACAGCAGCACCCTAAGGACACTTCCAAAGTTGCACAACAACAAGCTGTGAAAGTTTTGCAAAATCTCGAAATTATCATCAGTGGATCCGTTTGTGACACGCAACCGAAATTTGGCGACGATGAACAATGTGAGTAAATTTCTTCTACAAAAACAATACGAAATTTTCTTTTGAATTTACAGTATGACTATTTTTTAAATAAATTTTTTGGATGATCAGGTGAATTATTCGAATTCTCCTTATGAAATTACATGTGGACTCTTCAACTCTGCATAACGAAATTCAAGAGACCAAAAAAAAAGCGATGTGGAGAGAATTTCGCTGTATATAGACTCCTTATTACGTAGACCAAAATTCCTATGGTCTATGTATTATACATAGTTCCCAAGGAACTGAAACAAAAATTGAAGAAATAATTTTAGGCAAGATCATTGTAGAAAGATTTCAATTTTTATTATGAAAGTTTAACCCAGATTGAACTTCATATTGATTCATGACTTTCCATAAAATTCAGATACAGTGGCCCCCCGCCTAACAGACCTCCTGTGTAAGGGATTTTAGCCAAACAGACCAGCTCTGCAAGCAGTTTTTCCTCCTGNGAAGTTTTCCCTGAGCTGAGGTGAGTGATTCTCAGATAATTTTAACTCTATGTTTGTTCAAAGACAATTATTTTTTTAATGTGGAAATTTGGCCCAATCTCGAAATCTTTGAGCTATTCGGAAATTCTTTGGAACCCTCAACTTGATCAAGCTGTACATTGTCATGCTGAATACAACATATGGATACTAAATCCAACCCAAGGATTATGAAAAAGAAAAATTTAAACGTTTTTCATGAGCAGAGCAGATTTACTTTTTCATAAACAAACTTTTGATTTCTCAATCATGAATCCATTAAAAACAGACGAACCAATAAATGGAATAAAACATTTTAGAGATTTATAAATTTCCAGTTTGAGCAATGGGGACAACTTTCCCATACTACCCTTGAAAATGTTGCTGTAACCTTTGATAACAAAATAACCCTTCGAAATGCTCATATGAGAGGAAGTAAAGTTTATATCATTGAGAAACATTCTAGAAGTTTTTTTAATGGTCTGCAGATTTTTCACTGAAAATTTTTTTTCTTTTCAATTTAGCAATCAAGGAAGATATCATCCTGGCAGAACATACTCACCAGCTCAAGTTATTGATGTGATTGAACATGCCAGATTAAGAGGGATCAGGGTTGTACCTGAGTTTGACACACCTGGTAAGTGTTGAAAAATACACAATGACAAGATTATCAAGCATGGTATTCTTAATTTATCACATGGTATTTTTGGAAAGGATTTTATATTGCTTATTAGGTGAAATTTTCTCAAAACATGTAGCTACTTTGACTGGAAAAGCAGCCCAGCTATTAAAAAATTTTCTTACCATGCAAAATTTTTTTTTGGCATGACATTGAAATTTGAATGAAACAAGTACCTGTCATGACATGACAAGATGCCACATGGAAAGATTCTATAGTGCACATGTATTGTAAGTTATATGATTTTATCTGAAGGTCACACTCAATCCTGGGGTCCTGGACAGCCTGGTTTACTCACAGCTTGTTCTCAGGCAAAGTTGACATCAGCAGCAAGACCATTCTTGCCATATGGCCCAATCGACCCATCCAAAGATGCAAATTATGAATTCTTGAGAAGACTGTTCGATGAGATCACCAGGGTCTTTCCTGATGAATTTTTGCACTTGGGTGGTGATGAGGTAGACTTTGCTTGCTGGTGAGACATTTTCCTTCATTATTTCACTTTAGCATGATTACAGTGATGATAAGTTTATAAAGTGTTTTTCCCGTTCGTTACTTCTACACTTTTTGATGTACCTGGTCGACTTGTATTGTCCACTGATACGACGTGACCTTCGAGTGATGTAGGTGTCTGAGTAACTGTATTAGTTTAGCCTGGAAAAGAAGAAGAAACCAATTGTCTGGCAAGAGGTGTTTGACAATGGTGTCCCCCTCAGCAACGACACAGTGGTTCATTACTGGAAGCTCACTACATCCACAGACTCATTGACATAATCAATAGCCTGGAAAAGAAGAAGAAACCAATTGTCTGGCAAGAGGTGTTTGACAATGGTGTCCCCCTCAGCAACGACACAGTGGTTCATATTTGGATTGGTGATAATTGGCAAGATGAGATGGCGAAGGTAATATCACTCAGAATGGCCTAAACAATAAGAAAAGATACATTGCTGGGTAGTGACATTCCATTCTGAACCAAAATGTTCATCCTTGAGCATTTCAGTTGGGATGCTTTTGAGAAATTTTGTAGCCACGAGGACTGGCAATTTTGAAAATTTATTTTTTAATCATGCGCTGCCTGAGTAGGGACCGAAAAGTTTCTATACGTTTTTCAAATCCTGAAGAACATTTTGCCCGAAAAATTCCTCAATGTGGGGCATTTTTCTTGCAATCATCCCATATGATGAACATTGGAAATGTCTCCAGAGAATAGGATATCATCCAGCCAGGTATTTTCTCCATTTTCAGGCCCTCTCAACCAGCAAGAAGCATTTCAGTGACCAATTTCAAAGTGAAATGAACCTACCCTCTGAAAAATCCCAACCCTGCTGCCAAATGGAGAGGCTCTACTGTCCTGGAGTTTAAAAAAAAAGATTGAGACAAAAGAATGGTCCAGAAATAAAATCAGCTCTTTCTACCTAGTTAGAAGTGAATGATGAACAAGAAAGTAAAAAACAGGGCAACATGAATGTTGTGTTGAATTTTTATTAATCAAATTTTTGAATGTACAGTACTCAAAAGAAACAAATTGCAGATATACATTCAATATGGTCTAACCCTGTGCAATGGACTTGCTTTGTGCAACAAACTAGTCATTTGTGGCGTGAAAAGTCTGTTATGCAAATTATATTATTTAAAAATCTTAAAAATTCAAATTTCAATATTAATTTTAAAACAACAGAAGTCTGTTTGGCGGATTTAGTCCATTGCACAGGAGGGGAAACTGCCTCCAGAAACAGTCTGCTGTGCAAAAATGCATTGCCCAGCCAGGAGGTCTGTTGTGCAGTGGTTGACTGAATCCCCATACTGTTATAGAAAGTTTTCCAAATAAGCATGACGTATTCCTACAAGATTCATGGATTTTCCTATTTTTTGAGGCAAAAATTTTAGGCAATATCAAAGTTCTACACTTTGTATTGGTCAAATTTCAATGAAGAATATTTCACTAGCAGAATATTCACAAGCCTCATTTGATTCATGTTATATCAATTTTTGTCAGGTAACCAGAGCCAACAAGAAAGTCATCTTATCTGCTGGCTGGTACCTGAACTACATCAGCTATGGCCTTGACTGGGAGAAGTACTACCTCCAAGACCCAGAAGGGTTC